TTGTATAATTCTTCATCAATTCTTTCAATCTTATTGAATAATTTTTTCTTTCAAAAAAATTGTGTAAATTGGATAAAGCCACATGCAATTTTTATTTTAAAATAAAACTGATATTTGGACGGGATATACATTCAAAATTGTGTCCACATTTTTTGGTAACAAAAGCGGTTCATCATTGATATTTAAAGTCACCTTATCCAATTATTTAGAAAAAATTGTGTGCAACTTTTCAAAATTTAAATACATCGATTTTTTTGGATTCTTATGTTTTTTCTTAACCATGTTTTACCGAGATTTTGGTAAGTTCATATCATTTTTTTTTTCTTGGTTAAGTTCATATCATTTTCTTTAGGAAAGAGATAGTATCATAAACATTAACAATTTATTTCAATTTGTTATTAGAATTATTTTCAATTCAATTTGTTTGATACAAAAATTGGTGCAATGTTAGGAAAAATCGGTTGCATTTTTAGGAAAAATTGATGATTTTTTTTTTTATTTGGTTTAAAAAAAAATCGGATCAATATGTTTGATAAAAAAATCGGTTTATTGATAAGAAAATCGGTTTCGTTTCCAGGAGTAACTAATGATTCTTTTCAATTTTTTTTAATTGAAATTTAGAATTAGATTTAAAATACATAATGGGTGAAAATCTCTAAAAAATTCTACTTTTTTTTTCTACTTTAATTTTGTTTAATAAATAAGATCCTTTAATTTTTCAAAAATTTGTTAACTAATAACTAATAATATGCAATTTTGGATAAATTCGAACACCTATGTAGTACTTTACGTGTCAAAGAATCAAATCAATAATGTTGTATATAAGGAAGTGTTTAATAACATATAAATTTTATTTTCATGAAATTTTTAATGGCATGAAACAATTTAAATACAAAAATACCTTTTATAAAATAAATGGGTAATAAATGCTCCCGTGCATCGCACGGGATTCGTACTAGTTTAAATAAAGTACAAGGAGGTGTTTAAATTACAACAATTTATGTTAAAGTATCCAAGGGTATGTCCCCTACGTGTGTAAGGTCCACCTAATAGGTTGAGCTCTAATGGGGGCGACAATAATGCTCAGAGATTGGTCGGAATACGAGGAGCTCGCTACAGTGTTAGATTGGTCGGAGTGGGAGGAGCTCGCTACAGTATTAAGGGAATTAGGTGATGAATCTAAAAATTAAAGAAAAAAAAAAAAAAGAAGAAGAGGAAAAATAAGACTTACAATACAGTTACGTACACTTTACACACAACTTTTCATAACCGTTTACTGACTTGGTTGTCCGAGGTTTTACTTCAAAAATATCCCCAAAATATTTTGCAAGTCTCTGAAGAGCAAATCGATTTAAGAACAAAGAGAGACGGTTCAAGGTGCAACATGTCTTAACATTAGGAGCTTCGTGAGAATAAAAGAAATGTGAGAGTGATAAACAAATCATTGGTGAAAATGAGTGCTTAATTAAATGCATGATTCGTATTTATGAGTTAATAAAATTAAATGTGAATTTATTCAATTTTACCTAAAAATTATGAATAAACTTATTGTTTGACAATCATAAGTTCAGCAAATACAAATATTGAAATTTCATAATATAAAAAATAATACAAATAAAAATATAGTACTTCACCTTATAAATATATTCATTTATTAAATTTCTATGATGAGATCATTCGCCAAATAGATCGAGGCACACATACATATTAATGCACCATTTATTATTATTTATTACTCCCTCCTATTTTTATTATTTGTCATCCTAGTTTAATTGATTATTTGTTAAATAAATGTCGTTTTGGCTATTTTGTACATATTTTTTTATTATTACCCTCATTTAATTAATAAATACACAACGTCTTTTTATATTCACTCTCAATTTTTTCTCAAAACATCAATCTCTATCCTCATTAATGAAGGTTATTATTGTCAAAAAAATTATTCTTAATTATTATGCAACTTCTCAAAACGACATTTATTAAAAATAGGACAAAATATTTATTTTGAAATGATTGAATTAATGAGCCATTATTTTTTCAGTCACTGAAAACTATAGATAATAAATGTGGTTTATGATTTTATTTGACAAGTGCGGTGAAGTAGACGTAGGCGGTGGGCACGTGGCATTTATTGGGGAGCTCTAGTGTGGCACCTCTGAAGTCGCGCTGCATGTGTTCTTACTTCTTAATTCTTAATCATTTTCTGTTTTCCTACGGTACATTTTCAAAATCCAATCACTTTTTTCTGCTGTTCAATTTCAAATGGTTAGGCGAGGATAGTAACGTTGTTCACATTTTATTTTTAAATAGTGTTAATGTTTTATGTTATAGATTTAAATTAAATTGATTATGCAACAATAAACGGCAATGATTTTAGAGACTAGACTCCAAGATTGAGATTGATATATTAGTTCTCACAAATACAAAAAGCTCATAAAATGACCAATTAAAAAAGAATTAATTGTATTTTTTTAACTAATTAGAGGATACTAGTAATCGATCACTTTTGCACATAAATTAATAAAGCATTATAAGTTATATTTATGAATATAATATTAAAATTATAAGTTACATAATGATATTTTATTGTTTATAGAATTATAAGTTACTAGTGAGAATCTCGTGCAGTGCACGGGAGTTTTGTGCCTTAAAACATTTTTTCAAAACTTTATTTCAACAATATATTAACTCGCTGACTTGTTTATATTACTATAAATAATATTTTAACATATATATCTATTTTTTCTAATACAAAAAAAAAATTATATATTTTGGTTCATCATAATACTCGACTATTATTTTATTCAAAAACTTATGGTCGTATAATGTCATTATTATTTATAACACTTATAGAAGTAGTATTCTTTTATATATATATATATATAATGATAAATATTTAATGTATATTAATATTATTTATGGATGTAATTAATTTAAAAATATATAAGTAAATTTAATATTTGTTAGAAATGTGATTATATATAAGTTAAGATAAAATGTAATGTATCCAAAACAATCCGCTTAGGATATTTTTTCTTAAAAAGAATTATTCAAAAAGATTGAAAGAATTTGTTATGGATTATACAACTATTTGTTTCCTACATTTGTATTCAATTTGCACGGTTTTAAATTAATTTGTATTTGAATTTATTTTTATAAATAATTGACACATTTTTTACATAAGAATCTTCAAATTTGTTTTAAAAAAAGAAAAAATTAAATTCAATTTTGGTAGGAAGAAATTATACAAAAAAATGAGATACAGATTTGGCTTAAAAATCTACAAATTTGTTACAAAATGATAGAATTTAGATTTTGTTACTAAAGATTCACATGTGTTTTTTTCGAAATTTCTACTAATAGTAAGTCAAACCTTTATTTTTTTATTCAAACTTACTATAAAAGTATTTTTCCAACAACCTTTTTTATATTAGTATAGATATTTATACATATAAAATTAAAATTATAAGTTAGATAATATTATATTTAATTATGTTTTAAATTTAATCATTGGTTAGAATAAATAGTACATAATGATTTGACTGCAAATGAATCACTATATTGATTAAATAAAATGTAACAATGTAATTTTTATAATTTTAAGATATCATGGCCAATTAATAAGCTGAAAAATATTAAATTTATTATAACAATTGCTTAGGTGATTTTAAGAAATTTCATTATTACTGTAAAACAAATTAATTTAATTAAAAATAATCTCATAATAAGATAAAAAAATATAATACTTAATTTAGAATAAATTACTTGAACAATAAATTTTTACAATATAATTTTTTTATGTTAATCTAACTCTCATATCATTTAGTGAAAAATATAATTATTAATTTAAATAATAACTATTACATGATATAATAAAAAATATAATTGTTATTATATAAAATGTAACAGTTATTGTCTTAATTAACCCAAATGAAAAGTGAAAGGAAATATTTTTATCATTAATGGAATAGGGTGGATCAATGTAGTAGTAGTAGTAGTAATAATAATAATAATAATAATAATAATAATAATAATAATAATAATAATAATAATAATAATAATAATAATGATGATGATGTTAGATTGTTACGGTTATTGGAGTGAATATGCCACATAGATAAGATTTATTAGGTTGTATTTATTGACTTGCTAGCAATTATGAGGTATAATTTATTAGGTAAAATTTATGAAGTAAAATTTATGAAGTTTTATTTAATATATTGGTAGCAATTATATATACTAGTATTCCAACATGTGCACATGTACAGATGTTTAAATTATCATAATTTATATGTATGAATATAATATTAAAATTATAAGTTAGATAATATTATCACATTTTAATAACTTCGTCATTAGTAAAAATGAACATTATAAAAGTATTCAAAATACATAAACTATAAAGCTTTATGATGCAAAATAGAAAAATCAAAGATGTTTAATTATTAAAAAAAAATTCTAAAAAAACATTTATGTATATTTTGTAAATTATTTGTACACAATGTTTTATTTTAAATTTATATACATAATTTAAATTAATTACATTAATAAATAATATTAACGTACATTAAATATTTTCATTACATGAAATAAAATGAAGAAGAAGACTACATCTATAAATTTTATAAGTAAAATTATTATTTTTTTATATCAAAGAATAGATATATATACTAAAATCAAATTTATATTACTATAAACATGTTAGCAGAATAATATATTAATTAATTTACGGATTAGCACTAATAGTCTCAAGTTTAACGCCCGACAAAAAAATGACGCTGATTAAAAGAGGTGATTAAAAGAGGTGGAAAATAGATGATCCAACTCTATTATTTGTTAGACCTTAAAAAACAAGTCATATGAAAATGACTCGTTTAATATCTCTATCTCGTGCATTGCACGAGCTACTTAACGAACAAATTATATAAAAAGAACTCATTTAGCATCGCACGGCCGGGCCACATACTTATTAGATAGGTAAAACTTTTGGAAGAGAAGGAAAAAAAAAAAAAGACCACACATTTGTTTGGAAAATATGACAGCTTGCACTTGAGCTGTTTTAACAGTAACATGAAGCCGTTTTTACAGTAAGGGGACTAAGGGAGTTGAGGAAGGACAAAAATTATTAAACAGGAAAAAGGCAAAGGTGGACACGGCCACACTTGCTAGTTAGCAAACACAAACAACCAACCAAAGAATAATAGTTATTGAAAACACAATGTATGTGAAGATGACATTGATAAATTCATATCATATAAAAACCAATATATTTCTATATAGATATGTTGTAACTTGTAAGCAGGTGTATACTACATAAATTATATATATCTATGCATCTCTGTAACCTAATCCCCTCAAAAATTTCATAACCTGAAAAACCTTAAGAATTTCAATAATCATACCTCATTCATCACAACACCCCCAACTTCAAAATCCCCGAAAGTCTGTACCGAACAAAAAAACATCACGCAAAATTTCATGACTGCAGCCTTTGCTCATTCTTCCAAGAATTCTTGGCAGACTCATCATCATCCTTCTTCTCATCCTTTTTCGGCTTCGAGAAAAACGGGTCCCACTCGTGTGGCCCGATCTGTTCACCTTCATCCAGCAATGCATACTTCCAGCTAAGCTCCTCCATAAACCCCTCGTCTTTACGCCCCTCAACTAAATCCTTCCTCAATCTCGTCACCTTATCAATCACACCCTCAACAGCCACATCAAACGCGTCCTTAAACGTCTCAAGCTTAGATCGAGGGTCAGCGTAAATCAACCTCGGAATTAAATTTATAACCGTCTCCCTCATCTTATTCACCTTATCAACCGGAATTTCACTCAGTCTCTCCTCTATACTAATATTCCTTCGTACATCATTCTCCGGTATAAAAACCGAATACAACGAATAATTCCTCGGCAAATGCCACGTGTACTGCGTGTACGCAGATGCCGGGTGGAAAAAGACCGGAATGCAACCCGCTAGCATGGCGTCGAAAGCCGAGCGCCTCGTGTACGAGTCGCCCTGCGGCTGCAAGCAGAAAACCGAGCTCTGAAACATCTGCATTATACTACTCGGAGAGTGGCATTTGTTGTTGTCCCTAAAATCACACTCCAACAACTTGCAAACGCTCGATTTTTTACACTGCTCGATTAATTCCCCTCTAATCGATTTTGGGTTACCCGGTCTCGGGGCACCCGCGAAACAGAAAAGATTCTCTCGCTCGAGCCTCCTCATCCTTTCCTGCCAGACGAGCACGTCTTTATCCCTCGCCGGATGAAAGTAAGTCGGGTAAGGAATTCCGAAATCGTTCGCATTCCACGGGCTCGACTCTACAACAAGCATCGACATGTTTTTTGCGGCGGGTAATAAAAGAAGCTTATTCCCCCAATCAGAATCGCGCTCGGATAATCTCCTGAAATCCCACGTGATGCGGCCCGCCACAAGAAAATGGTCCCTACCGCCCATAATTTTCCACTCGGGCCGTTCTGAGAGCCAATCGACCAAATCGAGAGAGGCGGCATCGCGGGCCGAGACATTGTGGCCCCACAAGTATCGGGCCACGTCGAAGCCCGCGTAGAAGGGGACGAAAATGGCGGCGGCTAGAGAGGAGTCGTTCGTGAGGCACTCGTATTGTCTCATTCTGCTGGTGAAGATGAGGTCGACTGCGAATTGGTTAGTGGCGTACCAGCCAGTGTTGGAGAAAACGCCGTCCTGATTGTCGAGTGGTGGGCCCAGCCCGGAATTGGTGGTGAATTTGCACATGTTGGTCCAGAGGCTGAGGGCCCGGCATTCCCGGAGCATGTCTTCGTTGAATTTGGGGGGAAGGGCATGGACGTAAATGTACCGGCCACCGCACGGGTCGCTTTTGTTGTCCACCGTCTGAAGAGCTCTCATGAACGGGAAGTGTGCGGGTTTGGGTTCGGGTTCGGACTTTACCTTTTTCCTCGGGTTATTTTGGTTTGTTGGATTAACGGGTCGGGTTTGGGAGTTGTTCTGGTCGATCCGAGTTTGGGCTTTGAGATTCGAGCCGTTTTTGGGATTGGAATCGGATCCCGGATCGAGGGAAATGGGCGGGTGGAATTGAGGCGAATTTCCGACGATCGGAACAATACTGCCGCCGCCGCTGAACGCCGAGAAATGGAAATACAGCAGACAGAACCAAAAGAAAGCCGATAGGGAGGCTAACAAACAAAGACGCGAATGGTGATTTTTAGATTGCCCTTTCTCCATTGTTGCCGCCTGGCGGCGTTTCATCAAAATTTCCACGAACAGCCAAATTAGCCTCACGAGAGACTGAAAAAAATACACAGAGAAAATTGGGGACGAAAATCGAATCAACGCACAACAGCGCAAACAAAAAAACAAAAAAACACCCAAACTAGCTACGAACTGCAAATCAAATGCAGAGTATAAAATACAGCTTAATCGGCTAAGCAAAAAAAGAAAAGGATAATGAAAAAACAGAGAGAACTCACCGGAGAAAAACCACTGGATTGAGGCGCCGGTGGACGGAAATGAAGCCGATTGCCGCTGATTTTTTGGATCTAAAGCGGAATTTCAGCAAACGAAGTGAGAAAAAGGTTTTTGCATAATTACTATATTTATAATAATTATAGATTGCAACAATTTTCTAGCTTATTTTGCGTATTAAGTGACGTATGATGAGAGTGTACTGTTCACCATGATTTGGTCTAGAGTGAGAAAATGGGATGAATCATAGAGAGAGAATGTGTTGTGGAAGAAAGAATACAAAAATAACACGTTTTCTCACCGTTTTTCTTTCTATACTTGGCGTTGGCGTTGCGAAGAGTATGGAAATACGGATGTGCGTAGTTTAGTGTGGAGGGTTAGCGGCGCAAGTTAGAGGGTTGTACCAGTAATTCAATCTCCCAATTTGTCGGTCCGCACGTTCGCACAGGACACGTGGTGAGACTGTGTGTTTCTGGCGTAGGTGGTCCTTGATTTGTGGGCCCAATAAAGTACCAAATTTTATTATACGGAACTTTTTTATGTTTGTCATTTATCTCGTTAAAATTTAAAAAAAAAATAAATACCGTATTTCACTTTTTTTTAATAATTTTACTTACATAATTTAAAAGTAAAGAAATATAATATTACATATTTTTATTAAAAAGATAATATTCACGTTATTGATAAACCAATATGTTATATTTTTATATTACGTTAATTATAATTGTTACACTTTTTTTGTTTCATATTCATTTACATTTAAAATTTATCTTATTTTTTTCTAAAAGCAACTTTTTCTCACCTTTTAATCTTAATGTTGCAAACTAAACCAAAATTTTTCCAATATATGTGCGGACGGAAGTAATTTTTATTGATTTAGATTTGGTTTACTGAATAAATTGAGTTAAGATTGAAAAGAATGATTGAGTTAATAATAAATTGATTTTGAATTTATAAGTGGACATAAGTTAAATTTGATTTGATATAAAAATAATAAATAATGAGTGGCTGAATAATAATTTGCTGAAAAACGTACAATTAAAATAGTTATTATTTAATTAAATTGATAATATTAAGTATAATTAAATTTAATTAATTAGACAAATAGTTTATCAAGACATCACCAAATTTAATTTAATTAATCAGCCTATCGAACTTTGATGCAGCCGGACGTGGGGCGAGTCGAGGATCTTTGGCGGGTAATTTGGAGTTGGCCTGGGCCACAACGGGTTCGAGTATTTTTATGGCTGGCGTCCCGACACAGTTTGTTGACTAACGAGACTCGCGTGAGGCGCCACATGGCGTCTAGCTCGTTGTGTCCGGTTTGTTCAATGGCAGCCGAGTCTACTGTACACGTATTACGTGATTGTGCTACAGCGAAGTCGACTTGGAGAAGACTCATCCCGAGTGCGAAATGGCGTGAATTTTTTTCCTTGAATTTCCGGGCCTGGCTCTATCAAAATTTAACGGGCCGTTTCATTCCGGAAGTTGATGACTGGGCCACATTATTTGGCCTGACAGCCTGGCGCCTGTGGAAATGGAGAAACCTAGTGTTGTTTGAAGGTTTGGAGACGACGTTGCATCAACGCATTAGGGAGGTTGTGTCTTACTCGAGTCGAGTACGAAGGGCGTTGGTTGACAGTCATAGGGTTGGTGTGTGTGTTCGACGTGAAATGAGGTGGCTGTCTTGGTCTGCTCCGCCTGTGGGAGTTTTGAAGGTTAATACGGATGGCAGCTTTGTCCCGACGACGGGGATGGCTAGTGCTGGGGGTGTTGTTCGGGATCATTGTGGAGCTTGGGTTAGTGGATTTATGATGAATATTGGTTATTGCTCCATCGTGGGGGCCGAGCTCTGGGGTTTGTTCCAGGGATTGCAGCTGGCATGGGACACAGGTGCTCGTAAAATTGTGGCGGAAGTTGATAACAAAAGTATTATTGAACTGGTTAATCGTGAGGACACTAACGGGCCGCATGGGAGTCTTGTTCGGGGTATTAAAGAGTTGATGGGTCGCCAATGGGAACTAGAGATTGTTCATGGCCACCGCGAGACAAATTTTGTGGCGGATTTTTTGGCTTCACTAGCAGCCAAGGGAGCAGGTGGTCTACACCGGTGCGATCGCCCTCCGTTGGGGACGGGCACATGGTTACAACACGATCTTATTGGAGTGGCTCACCCACGCCGGATTGTAATTGAGCGTTAGCGTTAGCTTCGCTTTCCCTTTCTTGTACCAAAAAAAAAAAATATATATATATATATTTTAAATGGCAGCCGTGATTCGGTGCAGTGAGGTTCAATATAGCTGTGTGCAACCGTTTACATGTGATAATATTCCCTGTTTTAAATTAAAATCTTGACTAAAATTAATTGACCTAGACAGGCGTCTATCGGATTATCAGTATTCAACAATGCAGGATTAGGGGTTTTGTCCAAATTGATAGATATTTTATTCTATTGCACATGATGAAGATTTTTATTATATATATTAAGATATTCACAATATAAAATAATCCTAGGTTGAAACTGAGTATATATTAAGTTTTGGTAGATTGGAAGTCACATTTTATTTATTCAAATTATGTGCTTACTTTAAATAAAAAGTTTAAAATGACTCCATTATGTTTTTTACTTGTGCAAATGTCTAAAGATTCTATTTTAGATGGAAAGGAAATCTTAAGTTAAAAAAAAAAAAAAAATTCATTATTCATTTGGTCTTCCTCTTTTCAGTTTTCAACTAGCACACATATCCCTGCAATTCAAAGATTTACGTCTGGGCATTAATAAAAATCATTAATGAAGATTTACGCCCGGCATTCTATCAATAATTCAAAGATCTAAAATTATTAACACAAATTTGTAGTTTGTATTAGTTTGAGACTCGAAAGATAGTATCAATTATTCAGGGTTTGAATGATAAAATCTATCAGTTTAAGACACGAATGATTTAAAATTATCACTTGAAATCTCTAAAAGGTAAAATATATATTTTATATTTTTTATTTACATTGAAATATTTGATTTATAAGCTTATATTTTTCATAATTGATATGAAATATTGAAATTTAATAATATTTTTCATATCATTTTAAGTTTTTTTTGATCTAATATTTTATTTTTATAACAATAATAAAAATCGTAAGTCCGAAAATATAATCTTTCATGCACATAATTGATAGTTTTTTTATCTGTTAAATTTCAAAAGGATAGAAGTTATCTTTTAGACCTAATTAATAGTTGACTCATCTTTCAAGTCTCCGACTTGAATCCATTAATATTTTTTTAGGGACATTGATCTCTGTTTTAAACTTGTATTGAACAATCATGGACTTCACAATCCACTGGTAGGAGCCATTTATGTACTCGTTGACGAGCATATGGTTTCGTAGCTATCGACTGAGTGGATTTCACTCTCTGTTGACCGCTCATCACAATATTTGATTGACCCATCATCATAAAAAAGATGCAGACCTTCATATTCGGTCGGCCGCTCGATCTTCATAAAAAAGAGACGGACCCTCATATTCAGTCAAATAATCATCGACCTCGAAAAGGACGTCTTTAAAGTCACCGTCTTTATCCCACGAGTGAGATGACCGGGAGCAGGGCGTCTCGCACGTGCCCTGACCGCGACCCCCATGCATTGGCCGCCCCGTCCACCGTTCGACTTGTGGTTCGTACGATCGTCATGAAGAGAGGTACGCAGAGCCAACCAGATATCATCGAGCCCCGCGACTAGATCTACGACTTGGCGCAACACCTTACTCTGGCGTCCTAACGTCTCTATGAGGCGTCGCGCTTGTCGTCAGAATCGTTCCGTCTCGACGACATCATGTAGAAATCGTATTGGTCTGCTGATACCAATTAATGTAGCGAAAGTGATAAAACAAGAGAAAAACTCTCAAATATCTTTATTAATCAAGTTCAACCAACTAAAATAATAGGAGATGAGTCATTTAAATAGAACTCCTAAAATTTCTAAATAAATATGAGGTAAGATAAATAAATATTATTCTACCAAAAATATAATCTAAATATTAATAATAAAAGAAATATATAATTACACTATTGATGCTAAATAATCATGCTTTGCTAAAAAAGAACACTGCAATCTCATCTGCAGCACTTTTATTCTTCATAAAATAGTAAGTTGGTGATTATATTATCCCCTCTATATATAATTTCAGAATACGCTGAACCTACGTGGCAAACTCTCATGCTTCGGAATTTTATTTGGCAAAAAATTATGCTTTGGAGTTAGGCTTGGATATGAATTAATATTTATTATCACACTAAATCCATGATTGATTTTTTCCTTCTTTACTTCAACAATTAATTACCATAAACTATTTTGTATCATATATGATATATCAAATTAACTATCTTTTAACGATTTTCGATTTGACATCCATATATATAAAATACAAAACAGTAATATATATCCTCATAAATAAAATTTAAATTTATTTATCAAACTAAATTAAATTATATCAAATAAAACTATAAGTTATATTATAAAGTAGTAGAAATTAGTATGTATTCTTTTAAAAATGATATTTATTTCAAATCTAATTGGTATGTTATCAATCTAATAGAAATATATAATTATTTATCTAAATTCTAAAATTACATATAAAGTTAGAAAATTGTGAAGCACGACTGATACGACACTTGATTTTTTAGGCATCTAATTAAGTAAAAAAATTAATCTATTTTGCTTAATATTAAATAAACATATTCTACACGTATGCATATACATATCACCATATTATTTCTATTTATTTAAGATATATATTTTTGAACTTATGTAATAGTAAATAATATCAATATTTTTATATGATATAAGTAAAAAAATTCAACACGGGTTGATATTTTTTTTAATGTACGGGTGTTTAATTATTATGACAAAAAATATAATTTGAAAATTTAATCAAAACCCAAAGTAATATTTTATATAAAGTTAAATTATTTTAGTTTTTAAAAAAAAATTAACATTTTTGACAAAAGCTTTCTAATTCAACACCCGTGTAATACACGGGTAATATAATAGTATTTATAAGTTAGTGATTAAATTATAAAAATATGAAAGATGGTGATTTTAATGCGAATTTAACTATGAGGCCCTGTCCCATTATGATGGCTAAGGCTAACAACATAAGCGAAAATTGTTGATGTGAAGTTGCAAATACATTTGGTAACGTTCGTAGTTCTTGTCCAATATTATCGTGGTCCAAATTCAATGTGGTGATCAACGGCCACAATGTCTCCACGTGGGGCCTAAAAGTACACTTTAAACTTGTGGC